GAAACGGGTCAGAATCTTGTGTTTTCAGAGATTAAAGAGGAGAAACGGGTCAGAATCTTGTGTTTTCGGAGATTAAAGAGGAGAAACGGGTCAGAATCTTGTGTTTTCAGGGATTAAAGAGGAGAAACGGGTCAGAATCTTGTGTTTTCAGAGATTAAAGAGGAGAAACGGGTCAGAATATTGTGTTTTCGGAGATTAAAGAGGAGAAACTGGTCAGAATCTTGTGTTTTCAGGGATTAAAGAGGAGAAACTGGTCTTTTACTTGTCCATCTGCTGCTGCAGGACCTCCTGGTTCCTCCTGAGAGCGTCCGTCTGTTTGCTCAGAGAGATGTGAGCTGCCTGCAGCTCTTTGAGGAGTCGCTCTGTTTCATTAAACCTGGAAAATAAAACTTTATTAATCTTAAAGCTTTAGAGAACCAACGACAGCTGAGTATCATCTGCCTCTGACCTGTTGAGCAAGGCGTTGTAGGCTCCTTTCAGAGCCTGGTGTTCTTCAGAGTCCTTCTGCAGCCTGGCGTTGTGCTGCAGCAGCTCCTCCATGTCGGCTCTGGACCGCTCCACCTCCAGAACCTGCCCACTCAGCTGGGACAGCAGGTCCTCCCTGCCCCGCTCTGCGTCCTTCAGCAGCGAGGCCAGCTTCCGGGCCTGCGGGGGGACAAGGGGGCGGGGTCAAAGAACCGTTTAAACCACAGAGAAAAACAGAAATGAGGGTCTGCACTTCAGCATCTTCTCTAAAATAACCTGAAATCACTGAAGAGCCAAAACATTACGACCAGAGCAGAGAATCAGTCAAATTTAAGACTATCTTATCTAACAGAACCACAAATAAAGTCAATAATAAAATAACTAAGATGAAGTGGTGTCATGTTTAAATCTCTGCAGTTGTTACCTCGGCCTCAGCCTGCGCTCGCTGCAGGCGGTACTGAGCGATGAGCCGGTCGGCCTGAGACAAAGCCAGAGCCTTGGCCTCCAGCAGGTCCTGAAGACAACTCTCCTTCGACTGACCAGGAAACAAAGAAAACAGAAACCTTTAAAGAACAGGTTTTCAGGCAGAAAATGAGACTTTGTGTATTTTATTGTTAAAATCTGCTGTTTTAAGGGTCTAAATCCTCACAGTAAAAGCAGCGAGCTTCTGTTCATAAACATCGATGATGTCAGAGACATGAGAGTCCCTCATCTGCTCCTGCAGCTGCGAACATGAAAACATAAAAACATTAAAGTAAAGACAGTCCACGCAGCCTCGTCACTAAACACATTTATATTTGAATGAAGTCTAAAAGTACCTCCAGTCCGCTCTGGATCCTCTCAACCAGACTGCTGACGCTCCTGGAGGAGCTGGAGGAGTCCAGGATGCAGGTGTTTGTCCTGAGAGGCGGGGCTTCCTGCACCGCAACCCGCTTGATTGACAGCTCAGCCTCCCTGTGACGGTAGGCGTTGTTGGCAGCGATGCTTTCTCCTAAACTAAAAACAGAAAACAAAGTTTGATGAAAACATTCAGTTCGTTCAGGAGACGAGTGCTACATTTAGATATTTTATACTTTTAAATTATTTAACTTTATTTACAAATATTTTCCCCACAAGGAAACACTGAAAACTTCTATTTATCTGCTTATAACTACTTTTCTATTTGAAGTAGCCTGTTACTGTTAGCTCCTAACTAGCATTTTGCTACTTGCAGTTTTACTGTTTTTTAGCTTTTAGCTAGCTGTGTTTTGCTTCCTATAGCTGTTAGCTTTTTATAGCTGTTCTGCTACATTTAGCTTTTAGCTAAAAGTTTCAGCTAGCAGCATTCAGTTTGTATTTTAACAGAAATGCTTTAATAATGTTCTGTTGGACTCACACCAGCAATGGGAAGTCTGGGAGGGGCGTGGCCTCAAACAGGAGGGCGAGTCCGGTCTGCACACGCTCCCTGTGGTGGGACGTCAGAGCCAGAGAGAGGGGGGTCACCATCCTCTGGTCCTGGACCCAGACGACAAGGATCAGGTCACAAACAGGAAACTGAAAGGAGTGGAGGTGTGGCGAGGCGTCAGTGGGCGTGTACCTGCAGCAGCCTGTAGAAGCTGGTCTCCATGTCCTTCACCTGCTGCCTCAGGCGGCTCATCAGCTCCAGGGTCTTCAGCAGAGCTTCAGCACACACCTGACTGAAGCACAAACATGTTGGTACGGTTCAAACACACACCACTTCACAGCAGCGTCTCCGGTTCGCTCACCTGAGGTCGTTATGGGAGCCAGGAGGCAGGCAGGAGATGGTGTTGTCTCTATGACAACAGGAGAGGAGCACCTCCACCTGTGAGAGGCAGAGCTGAGCGCTCACCTGAGAGGACACCACAGACCTGCTGGAGTCCTCACTGCACAGGAGTGAAGGGGTTAAAGATCAAACTCAGAGTGGAACGGGTGGAGGTGGGCGGGGACAGGACTGAACACCTTATGACCAGGTGAAAGTGGGCGGGGACAGGACTGAACACCTTACGACCAGGTGAAGGATATTCAGCAGCAGACTGGAGGTGTGTGTGACGAGGCGGCAGTGCTTCCTCAGTTGAGCGTCTCCTTGCGTCGGGTTCACGTCCTTCAGCAGACCCAGCAGGACCGGGAGCAGCATCTCTGTGAAGCTCAGCGTGGATTCAGACATGTTCTCTGCTCCTGACGACTCCTAACAGACAGAAGGACACACAGAGACACACAGAGACACACAGAGACACACCAGGACACCCAGGACATGGACAGGTCTGAGACAGGTTCCAGGTTCATTTAGGAGAAAACCTGTTTGTCTCACATGTTCAGAGACAGCAGGGATGATTAAAACCTGCTCAATCACAGTCACAGGAATGAACTTTTAGTTCTCAGGTCTAAAAGGATCAAAGTAAATAAAAAGCAACACATAACATGTGAACAATAAAAACAAACCTCCAGCAGCTCGTTGAGCAGCTGCAGGGTCCTGATCGCACACGTTTCATCCACAGGTGAGCTGAGCCACTGCACCAGAACCAGACCCCCCTCCGGTCCCGGACCCTGCCTGCATCCTGCGGCTCTGAGTCTGGGTCCGGCGGGTTTGAAGACCATGTCGCAGAGCAGCGAGCGCAGACCTGAGACGGTGCACATGGCCAGCAGGAGCTCCAGCACCTGAGAAAACCACAGTGAGTTCACAGTGAGTTCACACTGAGTGGATTACTTGATTTAATAAACTGTTTTAAACCTGTTTCATTACAGACTGAAACCTCAGCAGTCTGGCTTTGGGAGGAAAACATAAAGAAGGGAAGAATGATTTACATGAAATATATTCTGAGAATGCTGCTTTATCTCCACCACAAACCATTTCCTGTCCTCCACTCTCTACCTCCTGATAAAAACAACAGCTCTGACTCTGATAGTTTCAGATTCTCTCTGTGAGTTTTTACTGATATGAAGCAGGAAGACGAACAAACAGAAGAATCTGTGGTTGTTTTTCTCACCTTGGCTGCAGAGTCAGGGTCTTTRGAACGCAGCAGCCCTAAAACCTGAGACACACACGCTGAGAAGTGCTCATACCTGCAGATAAAAAAGGCTTTTATAAAGTAAAACCAACAGGTTTGATGTAAGCAGGCTGTTTCAGGTGTGTTTGTGACACCTGCTGAGGTAATCTGAGATCTTCGGGTTCTTTAACAGGTCCACCAGCAGGTCCACAGAGTACTTCCTGGTCAGCGTTCCGTCTCCGTTCACAATGATGTTGAACACCAGCTGGAAGGTCTGGTGGATGTTCTTTGAGTCGAAAAGCTGAGAGTAAAAACAAACAACAACAGTGTTATTTACTTACAGGAGGGGAAAACAAAGAAAAGAGGAAGAGAGATAAAGAAGTGTGAGATAAGAAACAGACTCACAACAACACAACACATTAAAACCATGTGACTTCCTGCTCTCTCTCACCTTGTCTCCAACCTTCTCGCTCAGCGTGAGGCTGGCCAGGATGGACAGCGTGAAGACCACCACCGTCAGGCTGCTGTGGGCCAGGAAGTTGATCAGAGTCCGGTAGAACTGCTTCACATGGTCCTGTGAGAGGAAAAACCCATGAGACGTGTCCTAAAGTTAGTCAAGCTGTGGTTTGGAACACTGGTCCTCATGCAAGAACATGTTAGTATTCTTATCCTAAATTTCTCTTACTTTTGTTCGTATGAAGGGTTCGTACGAACATGTCACGTCAGATTCAACAAACTCTTCTATCTTCAGGAAAAGTGTGTAAATGAGCTGCGTAAACTGATGAATGTGTATCGGGTGCTCGTGCACGAGGAGAGGAGATTAGTATAATCCACCACCCCAAAAACACCATATAAGGCTATGTTTCCTGCCCCACATACCAGGAAGTGTCCGTTCATAAATGACATCGCAAAGTAAAATAGAAAAACTTTACAAGTTCAGAGATTGAAGTT